ACTTGTTCTTCTAGAAAGTCAAAGTCGTGTCAAGGTGCAAAAAGTGTCCGGTTTTTATTTACCAATTCCGTTTTAGTTTTTTTGTTCAATGACTGAAACTGTCAAACTCAGGGGCGATTTGGACACAAGTCATAATGAAGATCAAGTGGCAGCAAAATTTTTCCTGTGGCGGCTGTAGTTTCTCAATTAGGGAAGTTATCTACAGACTTCTAAAAGTTATGTTGATGCGCAATGTTTCAATGCCTATCAAAAATACTATTTCAGATGCCAATGTAGTTAACCAGGAACTAGCAGTGGCGTGGGTTTTACGCGCTTTAGGGCACACTAAACGGCTGCTGCCAGTACTTTTAATCCAAGTCTTGATTTATCCCTTTCATGATGAGTGATTATGCCATTCCTCAAGGCTGATCCTTTAGACCACTTTTCTTCTTGCATACGTTAGCGATCATTTTGATGCCACGAAATGTCTCCGTCTGTTCGTTGCTAATAGATTCACCATTTGTTGTTCCGACGCGAGCACAGTTACAACGCACTTTGGCGTCAAAAAGTGGTCACCCAAATGGTACATTCCTCTGAATTGCGAAGAGTGCATCTTAATGACTTTCGTGTGAGGCCCACAAAACGCCTTCGTCGTGAATGTTCAGAATGGATAACGTGGCATTTTGATGCTGGTTCCCAAAGTGGACTAGGTGGTCCCGCTACCCTGAAACATATCGCTGTTGCTTAATTACGACAAATAGGCTCCAAAGCAGTCGCCATTCTTATGGCAGGTTTGTGAACTTTATTCCGCATTACTGGCAAAGACTTCCAGATACACAATGAACCATACGTCAGACATGCTGCCCACTCAAGAAGCCAGAGAGAGCTAATCATCGTCGCGAGCGTCCAACGAGCTGCTGTTTTGTTGGTTGCGGCTCCTTAATCCATCGGCTATGAAGGAGGTATGGAAAAATTTGAGCTGTTCTTCCCAGGATATCGCCCTCTCCAGGCTTACCTGACGCTTTTGCGTTGTCTACAAAACTTTTGCCGATGAGGTTTAACCAGCAGAAATTTGACAAGATTTCCATGATCAGAGTGCACACTTTCAGCGAATGACTCTCACATTTTGATTACTTGGAACATGCAATAACCCTCCTCTTTTAGTTAGAACGCCCTGTCCAGTCAAATTACTTTAGCTCATTTGTACGCAGTCTGAGGCTGGCAAACTACTACCGTAACCACAAGAAGGACGGCGGGAGTTCTGCTGCCTGTTTTGCTCGCGCATTTCAGGTAAACAAAAGCCGCCGGACGAAATGGGTGGATTCAGTGTGGGAAGCCTGCCCAGAGCACCAATCGTTTACCAATGTGCAACTTTGTAAATATCTGTCACCACTGTTACGATTGAAGTGGGTTTCGTTTTTCGCTCGTGCAGATTTTTGAAGGAATTCTCTTGTCGTTTAATCCGTTTACAGTGGGAACATGTGTAATTTTGTTGAAATACCAACTCTATCATTAGCTATGCGTGAAAATCTCTGCCAGTTTAAACTTAGTTCCTCCGATGCTTTCGGTTTCAATCATCAGCCAGACAAATACAAGGTGATTTCTACGGCCATCAATGGCGGGATGGGTGTCCATCAATTTTAAGACGTGGTTTGCATTCTCACACCTGCTAGGCATGTACGGGTTAGCAGGAGGGCTATATAAGCTGACTCGTTTGCCCGCACCAACTTCCTAAACCTTAAGGGTCCCATGCATTTTGCAACTTAAAATATGGCTACTAAAAATGAAACCAATTCCAATTGCTGGATAAAAAGACTAGTGTAAATGTTATGTTGTAATTAGGGTACTTTACGCCAAACTGGGTCTTCTTTTTAAAGTTCTCGAGGAATGAACACAAAGAAACTTGTGTCTTGGACGAAAGTCGATGATAAACTTCATCCTCTAAACAAGCACCATCGCTATCCACCTCGGTTCCGCTGGCTAAAAGGAAGTTAACCCAGCTCTCCGATGCGGTACTCAAGACCGCCAACGGTGTCCTTAGCGGACAGGCGCATAAGGAGCAGCAAGCAGTCTATCTGGGGTTAGTTTTGCAGGAAAGTCCTGCCAACGGAACTGTTACATACGCTGCATCGCAATGTTCTCACAAAGATTAACCGGATGAATTGGTGATCACGTAGGAAGGAAAACGAGAAAATCATTGGACTACTAGTCACCTCAACTTCTCCGTCTACCTTACAGACTCCGAAGGGGGCGTTAGCACTCAAAATACTCACCGAATAATCGAACATATATCCGAGAATCAGCCTCAAGTGGCGTGAAAACCGGGCGACGGAAGTCTTAGAGGGGAGGCGTAAAGCACGCTCAACCTCAGCCCAAGTTCAACGGACCCAAACTATATCGGTGTACTGATGACAAAAACAGCCTGTTGCACTATTAAATGCGCGCCAACGCAACCGATCGCGGCTCCAGCTTGCAGCTTTTACTCAACCAACATAGGCCCCTCGGTCACCAAAGGCGGCGATGCTCAACAGGAGGCAAGCTTCGTGTTAACGCAGCGTCCACGGTTCGTAGTGCGTATTCACGTAGCAGACAATAAAAGTGCACAAGTAAACTTCACACATAAGTCACAAGTTCCGAGCATGATTAAGTCAAATGTGAGGAGACAAGCAGAGAAGTCTACCAACAACTGAACTATAAGCATTTATATTGACATCAAGGAATTCTGAGAATGTGAATATGCAAGCCTCCAGCTCCGCTCCAGAAAAATTGGCCTCCCCGATTGTGGACACAGCCGTCGCTCATGACCGCAACAGCCAAATCTACTGTTTCGACAATCACGAGCGAAAAAATCCTTCGTACACCCAACTGGCCACGCTGATCGAGAGCATTTGTGGAGTCCACAAAAACTGGAAAGGAAAAAAGCCTGTGATCAATCCAACCCCATAAACTTCGCCAAATCCGAAAGCTTCTAGCTAGCTTCAAACTGCAGCCCTTTGCAAAAACAAGCCATTAAAAACAAGTCTTCTTGGTGCTGTTCCCCAGTGCTCACGGCCTTACAGAGATGCCTTATCAACCAAACAGTGTGAAAATGCCCAGGAAACTAAGCCAACACATGGTTGCCTTAAATCCTTGAAAAACAACAAAATCAGTCGACTGAAACACGATATTGAACGAGCTGCGAGTGGCAGCAATCGAGATCTTCACTCCTGATTGAAAAACTACGTCCCAGAAAAGTAAACGGGCCGTACAAACCGGGCTCTTGCGGGGGCAAATAATCCCTGCTAGTGAGAAGCAGCCACCAAAATCACCAAGGTAGCGAGCCGAAAAGTATGCTGCAGGGGCCCCTTCGGACCTTCGGACTTAAACCCGACATAAAATTTTTAAATCTGATAACTTACGGTTGAACACCTCTCGGCTTCTCACCTTCGAAGGCGTCAGAGAAAGTGTTCAAACGCTTGTGTACAAACCGCTCATCCTTTTTAACAAATTTTGCCACACTTAACAGTCGGTACGCTGTGAACAGCCGCCCATAATCGCACTCACAGAGACCTGGCTCACACCAGCTTTCCGTGACGCGGAGATGTCGGTGGACGGCTATCCTGTTTTCCGAGCTGACTCTTAATGAGGGGGCTAGTGGGATTCGCTTTATACCCACACGTGGTCATGCCCATCCAGATCGTCCTCTCTGATGTCATTCCTGCAGTTTTTTGCGATGCAATGTGGATTCAAATCTAACCACGCGAGTCCGATTCTCTTTCGGTTGGTTTACCGTTGCTCTCTTAGCCCTGCGATAGATGAACGAGTCCGCATAAGGATGCCATATTTCTCGAACTCTCAAGAATATTCGATTGAGTCCCACACGTCCCGCTTCTTCACAAATTCGAGTCTTATGGGTTTCGAGAGAAAATTCTACGCTGAATTGCGGTGTTCCTATCCAATTGAAAGTAGGCTTGGCCTACGCTTCGCAAACGCCAGTTTCCATTGGAGTTCCTCAAGGCTCCGTTCTGGGACCACTGCTGTTTCTGATATACTTCAACGACGTTCCAGATGTTCTTGCAAGCCCATGTCTACTTTCTGTGGACGACTTGAAATCCTTGAGTCCAAATGCCAGTGTCCTCCAAGTGGATGTAGACGCTGCAAAACAGCGGTCGTCGGACTAACACCTTTCTCTGAATGATGAAAAGTGCACCCATATGCCATTCACTGGGAATTCAGAGAAGCCTTCGTCGCGCATGTTGACATTGGACGGATGACAAAAAGGATTTGCGTATCTGGCCCTATTCTAACATGCCCTTCTCACTGCACCGTGAGAAATCGGCTCACACCTCATTTGACGCTCTAGAGGCGATTCGGAGCACCTTCTTCGATATTAATCACATGGACTTGCAAATCCTCTATGGGGGCTACGTCAGACCGCTTTTCGAATATGCAAGCCGAGTTGTCTACTGAGGAAGCAAGGAGGACGTGACTCTCATTGAGCGCGTTAGACGGTTTTCCGGCCTTAAATCCGTGGACTATGAAACGCCTCTTGCGGCGCTTAACCTCTTTGCCTGAAGTATCGTTGCCACCAGGGAGACCTAATACTCACTTATATCCTGTTTGATGAAGTTTTTTCCAAGAGGTTTTTCACTGTTGACCCAGCTCACACACGGCGGAGATATGGTTAGAAGATTCCAAAAATAGGATCGCGCGCCCTTTTGGGGCAACATCTTTCTTATTTTGGTGGTAGTTGAATGGACTAATCTTCTTCTGACGGTTGTCCTCGCTACATCTAGTACCCAGTTCAGAACACTATTTGGCGCTTTTTTATGCGAGTCCTCGTGCGGGCAACCTTAATGCTCCGCGCTGAGAACTTGCCGAGCAGTGCCACACCCTTTTTTCGCTCGTGTCTTTCAGGTGAACAGCAGCTGCTGAACGACGAGAACGAAATCGACCGCGGAAACTTGGGCGAAAGCCTCGTTCCCGTGTATCAATCCGTGAATGTATGAATCGAACCTATATTGACCAATGAGTGTTCGATTTTCACGGTGAGTGTTTGGTTCGCATAACTGTGTGACCGCTAACTCCGCATTCGTTGAACATTATTTATCCATGGTCGTCTGGATAGATGGAACCTGTTGAAGAAGTTGGAAGTGCTGTTCAAACTCTAGAAAATGCCGGACAATCGTTGGGCGTGACTAGTGTATCACCATCAGATCAACCGATCGCAGAATCACAACCAAGCTTATGCAAAGTTCGCCGTGTCCGGTTTGAGAAAGTTGAAGTGTTTTACTTCGAACGGTTACAAGGCTTTGTTTGTGTCCCAAGTCAAGGTGGCTCCACGCTTGGTATGGCACAGACACATTCTGCGTTCGAGGAGTTTACGGTTGCTGACCACCAACATGTCCGACAGTTTGAACGATATTTGGCTCTCCTCAGAAAATTCGAAAGCGGAAAAATCTCTCTCACATCAGAACAGCTTTCCTACCTTACGTTCCGTATTAAATCAGCTCCTGACCTGCTTTGCAAGCGTCTTTTTCACAGGCTGCAGGGAACGTCTCTTGTCAGCGGTTATGATGGAGCCCATCCTGATAGGCAACCACTTCCCTTATTTGAAGAAACGTCTGGCCGTATTTCTTCTCTTTCCAACCTGAGATTGCCTGAAACGAACCCCGAGAGCCCACACATCTGCGATGAAGAAATGGAATCACAGTTGTGTGGTCTGATTGAGTGTTATTTTCTCCAACTTCTTTCCATAAAGAAGCGACGTCTGTTGCTCCGAAAGTCAGGTAAGCTCCCTAGTGCTTCTCGAAACCGGACCCACAGTCTTGCAATAAAAGGAATATTGGTAGCTCAATTTTCAGAAAAATGCATCATTTTGTACTGTATGTAAATAATAGTAGCTGCTTCCTGA